CTGATAAGCCACACCAGGGGAGAGCCTTTCTCCTCAAGGAGGAAAGGGCTTCCCATACTGGAAGGTTCATCAGGGAGGGATGAAACTAAATGGTTCTCTTGAGTTGCTAGCCTTGAGAGCTGGCAAGTAGCATCTTTCCTCTGGTCCAATCCGCAAGGGCTGGAGAGTACGTGTTTGCCGTACATGGTGACCCATAAGGCTGGGAGACGGGAATCCTGGAGGTTGAGCGATGCTGCACCCTGTGGCTAGTAATACACCTCTTCTGTCCCTTATTCTAGAAAGACCCATAACTTTCAGTGATGCTTACTGAAGTATCAGAAATAGAGTAACTCAAGCAGTTATAAATGCCAGATGTAGCTATTATACAAATAAGCTCCAGTCAGCATCAGGCGACGGTGAGAAAACCTGGAATGTCATAAATTCTATTCAGGACAGGAACACTCAGCCTTCGGCCCCTCCACTCAGCTTTTATGATAAATGATTCAGCTGTAACGGAACCCTCCCTCATTACCAACCACTTCAATGAATATTTTATTAATGTTGGCAAAAGTCTTGCAGAGAGCATCCCTGATCACCATGAGGAATTTAGAGCCTACCTGCAAAACAGACAGCAAAATGAGCTGTTCTTATCCCCTGTCACAGCAGATGAATTACAGGCCATCATAAAAATGTCCAAAGTTGCAGCAGCAGGCGAAGACAATATACCAATGAGCATCATTAAGAAAGTAGCCCACTTATTACTACCTGTTCTACACATTTGTAACTCCTCCTTCACTAGTGGTGCCTTTCCGGATAAACTGAAAATTGCTAAAGTTCACCCAGCATATAAAAAATCTGGGGACAAAGGTCTCTTCAAGAATTACTGCCCCATATCAGTCCTCCCAGCCTTGAGTAAGATACAGTATTGGAAAAGCTAGCATGTAGTAGACTAAATTCCTTCTGCAATGCCAATAACATCTTTACAGACTCCCAGTTTGGATTTAGAGCTAGAAGGTCGACTGAGAGTGCTCTGCTATCCTTTGCTAATGACATCTTAAATTCCTTTGATGACAGTCAGTTTACAGTCGGTATATTCTTGGACCTCTCTAAAGCCTTCGATACTGTCGACCATACCATCCTCCTTTCAAAACTTGAACATTACGGCATTAGGGGCCTGTCCCACAATTGGTTTACCTCATATCTGTCCAACAGGATGCAGTATGTCTGCTATGATAATCACCAATCTGACTCCTTGCCAATCTTGTATGGCATCCCCCAAGGTTCATTCTCGGTCCAGTACTGTTTTTGTTGTACATAAATGACATAGTCCATGCCAGCACACTCATAAAATACAACTTATTTGCAGATGATAGTAATCTCTATGCCAGCAACTCAGACCTCCATTCCTTGATGAGAACTATGAACACTGAATTGACTAAAGTCAGGACCTGGGTAATACATAATAAACTGACCTTAAATCTTGAGAAAACCCACTACAGTGAACCCTCACTTTACGCGGTCAATTGAACCCACGGAGGCCTGCGTAAAAGCGAGAAACGCAAAGCGAGAAACGCGTAAAGTGAGCAACATAACATATGGGATTAAATGAAATAGAGACCGGCTGGCCCCCAAACTCCACTTTTTCCGACACAATACCTATGTTCTAGTAAAAATAACGTCTTAATTTTATGATGGTACATGCACACAATTAATACTTAAGAGAAATAGAGAAATACAGTCGCCAAGTTAGTGTCCATTCAAATAATGGACTCAACTCCCTCCCCCTCTTCTCACACTTGCTGGCTCTTCCCTCTCTGAGAAATGTTTGGGGGAAAACCACTAGATTTTAAGGTATAGTAATAAATAATACCTCAAACTAAAGTTAGGATAATATAATTGACATTGCTGGATTCCTTGTAAGACCAGGAATATTTTGAATATAAATGTCATATATTTTGCACAAAAGATAACATATTTACTCAGAGTAAACAAAATACTTACATTAGATCTAAAATTTGTATGTCTAATGCAAAATCTATGATGTTTATATTCAAAATGATCATCAAATTGTAAGAATTCCAGCAATGTAAATTATATTCTGGCCGGGTAATTTGTATGAATTTTATGAGCTAAAACAAATATCTTCAGTTAATAAAAAAAAAAATATTCTTCACGACACTATCTGTCAATCAAAACACCCCACCTTGCCTCCCCCCCTCTTCCAACCTCGCCAGATGGTCGGTTGGTCCCTCCCTCCCACCCCACCCCCCACCAACCATCCCTACCAGAGAAATGTTTGGGAGAAACCAGAATATTTACCTTTTTAGTAATAAATAATACCTCAGACTAAAGTTAGGATAATATAATTGACATTGCTGGATTCCTTGTAAGACCAGGAATATTTTGAATATAAATGTCATATATTTTGCACAAAAGATAACATATTTACTTAGAGTAAACAAAATACTTAAAGTAGATCTAAAATTTGTATGTCTAATGCAAAATCTATGATGTTTATATTCAAAATGATCATCAAATTGTAAGAATTCCAGCAATGTAAATTATATTCTGGCCCGGTAATTTGTATGAATTTTATGAGCTAAAACAAATATCTTCAATAAATAAACAAAATATACTTACCGAAATAATATCTGTCAATCAAAATACCCCACCTCCCCCCCTCTTCCAACGTGCTCCATGGGTCCCTCCCTACCAGAGAAATGATTGGGTTATAACAGTATATTTACATTTTTAGTAATAAATAATACCTCAGACTAAAGTTAGGATAATATAATTGACATTGCTGGATTCCTTGCAAGACCAGGAATATTTTGAATATACAAGTCATATATTTTGCACAAAAGATAACATAGTTGCTCTGAGTAAACAAAATTCTTGCATTTGATCTAAAATTTGTATGTCTAATACAAAATCTATGATGTTTATATTCAAAATGATCATCAAATTGTAAGAATTCCAGCAATGTAAATTATATACTGGCCGGATAATTTGTATGAATTTTATGAGCTAAATAAAAAATTATACTTCACCCGCGTATATGAGTAGATGCACCGCATGCGTAAAGTGGGAATTCCGGTTCTGGCAGGGTACCCGTCTAAATGTAGAAACGCGTAAAGTGAAACCGCGTAAAGCGAGGGTTCACTGTACACGATGTTTCACAGAAGGAAAAACTTACCCCTAGACTTGGACCCCCTGTACCTTGGTAATACAGTCCTCCTAACATGAACAAAATACTAAATTCCTCAGAGTTATTGTTGATGAGAAACTTAACTGGAGAAACCACATATACGCCATTCACAGTAAAGTCAATAAACAGTGCTGTATCATGTGTCACACTCGACAGTCACTCACTCTCACAGTAATGAAAGAAATCTATCATGATAGTGTTTACCAACACCTGATACACTGTCACACACTATGGGAGGCCTCTGGTTCTTCAAAAACAAAATCTCTTGTTACTGCACAAAAGAGAGTTGTATGGTCAATGACCTACTTGAAAAAAAACAGATCACACAAACGAAAAATTCACTGAATTGAAAATGTTAAAATTCGAAGATATTAACACCTACTGCTGTGCCCTCTTTGTTTACAAATCTATCACTTGCTTGACAATAATTATTTCCAGTTCTGGAATAATCAGAGATACAACTTAAGGCACCCAGAGCTACTTAGACCACCCCCCGTGCACTCCTCTCAGTCCCAGACCTCCATAAAATATCACGGTGTGAAGGTTTGGAACAACTTACCCGCATCCATCCGAGCAAAGACTACGCTCCCTTCCTTTAAATCATCTCTTAAAAAATATCTATTGTCTAAGTATTAATATTTCTTGTAACACCTACTATATTTACAGTACCTGCTTTTATTGTACCATCAAAACCTTTTTATCGGAAATTATCAAGTAAATAGAAAAGAAATTACCATTGCAATAAACATAACTGCCAACTAGACAATCCTGACAGCTCTGTCCTCTTGTTCAACCTTACTACTGTTCAACCCATGTTGTACTGCTCCCCCATTATAATTGTGTTTTTCAATTCCACTGTAATTTATGTATATATAAATAAATAAAATAATAATGAATAAATAAAATAAATAAATATTGAAGTGATAACCGTGGTAACATTATGAGATGTTCTTATTACCACCATGCTATTGTACTATTCCAGATGATACAAAATGTTACATAATTCTTCCCTGAGATAAATGTATAGTATATATCAGGTGCCTAAAAGAGAGCTCAGGTTCTCAACTGGCTCAGCCATGTTAATATTATCCACTCGGTATCTGTGTTTTTCTGGCTAAATAAACTGTTTCAATTCAATTCCAAGATGGGAGGCTTGATTTGTGGCCCGGTCAAGTCAATCGGCTGGCCAATTTGGCTGGCCTCTGGGCCAGTCATTTGGCTAGGGTCAGGCAGGCACCACAAAGTCCATACCCCATTTGGTCCCTTGGGTGTCATCAGACTAAGTGGTGGATGGGTGAGGTGGGGAGGTGAAAGAATAGTAAAAATTTTTATGGCATCCATATACTTAAATTTCTGGCCGGACTCCAACTCTAACAACCCTGGCTCGTCAATGAGCCATTGAACCAATCTCCTGGAATGCCTTCTTTAGTGGCCACTCTAGAGCCTTTTGTGCCCAACAGTGGAATCCCATTTTACAGCTGAAGTTGGATGAAGAGACTCAAATTGCTCCCTCTTTCCTCTGGGTTAATTGTGGTTCACCTGGCCTGAAGCTTGATACTAGAAAATCTAAGATGGCTGATGATGGACAATGGAAGGCTTTCATCTGTAGTGATGGAGTCGTGTTACTGGTCTGATTAATGCAGCCATCAGTGTTGAGGGTTAGCCTTGATTGAAACTTGAAACCCATTAGACTGAATGGTTACTGTACTATGCATGAGTCTCCTTGTTCTGACTTAGCTATAGAATTAAATATCCAGAATGAATACTGTACTTCATTTATCAGCTTGAGTTGATAATCAACTTTATTTTGCAGAATAAAAAAGAAATTGCGCCGTGAAGAGTCAATGGAACCTATCAAAAATGAAATTGAGGAACCTGACAGTATAATGGAAGAAATTGTTGAGCCAGTTAAGGCAGAAGATAGTGAAAAAATTGAAAAAATGTAAGTGTATATGTGACTCATAGTTTAGATTTGATGCAAGCTATATAATAATGTGTACTGTACTAGAATTAATTTAAAAATTAAATAAGTTTTCTAGTTTAAGTGCAGCAGGAACCTCTGGAATGTTTTTGGAAAATGTATAGATTTAGTGTTTTTCTAATAGATACATTATTATTCTAGGGCTGAAATACAAGCAGAGATTATTCAACTTAAGCAGGAACTGAGAGGGAAGCCAGCCAAAGTAGAGGTGGAGGTGAAGGAAGAGGTTGAAGAAAAGGACACTGAACCAGTCAAAGAATACAAACTGGAGAAAGCAAAGTAAGTTTATGTTCAAGTGATATTAAGCTAAAGATTTAGGACATAGGAGAAAGGTAATTGGAATGTGAGACTGGAACAGATTGTCTGCTTGGAGCTTGATCCATTCCTTGGGCCGGGGAATGGGGCTACTAACCCCACTATGTGTTCACTTGCCAAAAAGGAACAAAAGTAAGTAACTTTGGGGTTATGAATGTTTGTGGATGTAATCAGTAATAAGGACAGTAGTTGAAAATGTGAACAGTCCTTGTTTTGTCCAGAGCAAAACTGAAGGGCAAAGGAGTAAAGCCAGGATTGTCTGAGACAGAGAGAGCAAAAGAGGGTGAGGGAATATTGTTATGTAATAGAATATAGGGGGGTCATTCTCAGAATATTTTGGATCAGATTGGAAGTAGGGAAAGAAAGATGGCTTATACTAAGTGCACTCACAGAAAATACTTCTGTCAGTCCTCCATCCTGAGACTCATGAATCGGTGAACCTGAGACATCACACATTCTTAGGCCCATAGATGGTACACTGGGTCGTGTGATGTTTCGGATTCACAGGTTCAAGAGTCTCAGGGTTCATGGATGGGATGGAGGACTGACAGGACTTTTTTCTGTGACTGTGCATAGGCACCAGGAAATGAGAAGGGTAAGAAGGGTAAGAAGGAAAGAGAGAGGGTCTGGATATATTTTAATAACTGTATTGAAAGCTCTACTGAGAGATAGAGTGATAATGATGAAGGATTAAATGTAAGAGTTGGTGTAAGGAAAAAAAATGGGGGGGGGGGGAATCTTGGAGTACTGTACCAGGGATGAATGAAAATGGGACAGATTGATAGTATTGTGTACTGCTGAAGAGTTGATAGTGTGGAGTATAATACATAGTCCAGAGAGAGAAAAAATCCATGGGTGAGGATAATGCAGAAGTTAGAGGACTGTTTGGTTAGATGTAGGTGGATAAAAGTTGATTGGTGTGAATATATTATGAGGGGCAGCACATGGAGTGTCTGACATTACTTGATAAAGGCAAGATAAAAAGTGAATGGAAGGTCCTAAGTGAGAGATAATCAACAAAGTGAGATTATAAAAGTAGTTGGGAGCACGAAAGAGAATTTAGTTGGAAGATTTAAAGAAGTGTTTAACCACTAAGGGGCAGGATTCCCTCATCCGTTCCCATATGCACAAAAACCTATAATGCAAGGAACATGAAATATCCATTGATGTTAGCCACCATTTAAGGGTTAAGGCCCGGTGAACACATTAAAATACAGTGATCCCTCGGTTAACGAGTGCCTCGGTTAATGAAATTTCGGTTAATGAATTACCTTCCATAAGATTCTTCACTTCGGTTAACGAGCAAACCCTCGGTTAACGAATTCCTTACGAATTTTTCCCAACATGTTTTCGCCTGCATTTGGCTGCCCACCAGCTGTAGTATTAGTCCGCCAATACACTAATCGGTTTTAGGGCTTAAATTCCTTACCATTTTAGTAAATATCAAGAAGGTTGTACTATTCAATAATTTTAAAAGTTTTATATTAAATTGTTTAGTCATTTTAACAATTATTGAACATAATTGAAGTATAGGAAGCTAGTTTTTTGCGTGCCAAACAGCCACAACACTCCAAGCTTGGCGTCAGTTTGTTTACCAGCTCAGAGGGAGGAACATCTTGTTTGAGACTCTTCAACATAAATGCTTTTTTCTGTGTTTCCAGTCAAATTATTGGTCATTTTGAAATATATTTTACATATTGACAATATATAATGCAGTGCAGTGTTGATTTAAAGAAAATAATCTTGAATTACACCAAGTGAACTAAAATTTCATGGGTGAAATGGCGCCATGGGGTGACTTCTCTTCCACCCCAATGCCTTCTCTTCTCCCTTTTCCTCCACCCCCCATTCTAATTCCCATCATCATCATCCAGGAGCCTTCTACATACACACCTCAAAGTAAGTGTACTTTACTACCTTTTTTGTTGACTTTAGGCAATTTTCGGTGAGCTGGAACCAATTACCCAAAAACCCATTGAAACAATGGTTTCGGTTAACGAATTTTTCGGTTAACGAGCAACCTTCTAGAACGAATTGTGCTCGTTAACCGAGGGACCACTGTAGGTATGCATGAGGAGGGGCTGGAAAATAATGAGAACAGTTAAAGAAAAATAGTCTTGGAAAGTGGAGCTAAGGGGTGTAGGTACAAGATTTAAAAAGGAAACACAAAAAAGATGGTATGATGATAAGAGGGGTTGGTAGTTCTCATTAAGGAGAAGAGGGGAGCGTGTGAGTGTCATTTGCAAAAAGAGAGTGATAAAGAAGTGATGAATCCAGGGAGGTTGGAAGGAAAGTAAAGTGAAGGGTGATAGAATGCAAAGAGCATAAGAAAGTTTAGGGAATAATATGGTATGTAAATGAGAGCAAACCTATGGTACATGGGAAATATTCTGCAGTGTTAGTCAGCAAAATTATTTGATGCCAACACCTGGCAGGGATTATGTTTGTTTGCCACTGTGTGTATAGAGGTAGCAACATATGTTATGCCTTAAGCCAGACTAAACCCTCATATCAGGGAAGTCACTCTCACAAGTGAGATATGTAGCCTTGATTTTTTTAGAAACTTAAAGTTAATTCCAATTTTCTTCGTCAACAGGTATGAAGAAGAAAAGAAAAAAATACCACGTAAGGGCACGTCAAGAGAAGAACAAACCTTAGCACTTCTGCAGAGATTCACTGCGAAGGTGAATAAAGCAGTGTATGATGACTCTGCTAGTGAAGAGGAAGGGGTTGTTGGTAATGAAGATGATGATGAAGATGATGATGCATGGTAAGAAAGAATAAAAGCTATGAATTTAATGCCCCCAGTGCCATGCTGGGAATAATTATTTGCCCCTGCCAGTCGGTACATTGTCCAACTGCCCTGATCTTGTGTATGCAATATCTCATGACTGGGTAATTGGATATCTACCATTCTTGTGCCACAGATAATACATACAGTGTTGCACTTAGTTATTCTCTTTTTGAATGTTAATGTATTTATTTGCATGAAGTTCTTTTTATGCCACTGCTCATTTCACGCAGTTTTTCAGCATGTTTATCCTGAAATTCTATTGCATAGAGCATGGAATTTATTTAAATTTTTTGGTGTTAGGGTATACTGTATTTTTTTTAGACTCTAGCCTTATTGAACCCTCTACCTCTGGGGGTGAACCACCCATGTCCTGACATACAATTGAGGGAGGTATCACATATGTGCTTTATATTGTTCTCACATTATTTTATCCCTTGGCTGGGTAAGGATATGGTTCAACCCATCCCCAGTCTTTTAAGGGTTACCATTATATTTTTCTTATGGAGTACTGTTTTATGGAATAGGCGGGTAATCTTCACCTACCTCGGCGAGTTGAGACCCTGCATTCCCAGCTACTGTAAGTGGGCACGTGGTAGTCCTACATATAATGTGCAAATCCTGCTCCCTAAAAGTGAGTTGGCAAAATGAAGGGCATCCTACCAAAAAACCTGCTTCAAATTTACCTAATGACAAGTGGGACACCTGAGCTGTGTCTTTTCCCTGGTCTCTGCTGCATTTTCTGTTCAGAAGGTACCAGTTGAGCATTTTAAAGGATAGCACTTCCACTTGAGAATAGAAAAGCTTGAGAGGCTACTCCATTATCAAGTGCAGAACTCCATGTTGCACATGGAAGGGTGTCCCTGAACTGCTTTTGCTATGACATCAGGTTTGTGGTGGGTGGGTGGGGGGAGAGGGAGGTCATTTTGCTAGGTCGATGTCCATTACTTAAGTTATCCTGTTACACATAAATCACTTACACACACTGCACCTACCAAAGAAAAATGTGTGAAAGCAAAGTGGAGCAACCTGATGTATTGCAATTGGGTTTAGATTAAAGTCTGATTATATTGATCTTATGTGGGGAAAATCAGTTGAGGCTGTTGAGACACTGAGCCATAGAAAGTTGTACAAGAAACTAGGTGGAAAAGTGGATCAGCAGGGTTGATTACTGGTAAAAATGACAGGCACAAAAACTTTTGAATGGATAATGATTCTGGGTGAGGTGGTGTATTGATCGCTGAGAAGTGGTGGAGAAAGTGTTAGAGATGAAAAGGGTAAATTTTAGAATTTTGGTTTGAAGTTACTGGTAGGCAAGAATCTGGTAACTTTTGTATCTGTATACACCCCACTGGTTGGGCTAAGTGAAGAAGAAAGGGATAAGTTCTGGGTTGAGTTGCTACATGTAGTATCAGAACTGACTGGAAGGGAAATTATAGCCATGTTTGAGGATGCATTGAATATGGTTATATGCAAAACTGTTTAAGAAGAGGGCAAGTAGGCTGGTCATGCATGAGTCAGGTGGTACAAAAACCCATATTACATACATACTTGTCAGGAAATCAGATACGAAGCTTATTATGGGTGTAAAGTTGATAACAGAAGAATGTGGCTTGCGACACAGACAACTTGTGTATGACATGTTGCTAAAAATGAGCAGGGAAAGGAAGATGATGTTTGTTCTAAGAGGAGAGAGTGAAAATTGAAGGAACAGAATATAAAGGGAGCATTTTAGTCTGAGTTGAGAAGAGTGGAAATGGTAAATGACAGTGAGGGGTAGTGTAATAAAATGTTGGGCCACATTAAAGGATGGTGTGGGTGACAAGATGTGTAACTGGACAAAAGGACACAGCCAAGCATCTAATAACATGGTGATGGAATGATGAACTGGACAATGATAAGAGAAAAGAAGATTGTACATAAATAAGGCCTGAAAAATAAGTGATGATAAGGAAGAGTACCTGGCGGCCATTAGGTTAAGAGGTGTGAACGGGATGCATTTGTGGAAAAGTTGAACAAAACAATTGCTAGAGGTGAGGTAGTAGGTATTAGGCAGCTATCAAACAGGGAGGTACTACCGCCTGGGGAAGATATTGGAAGCATAATGTATTGTCTAATGGTAGACTCTGCTGCCACATGGCATCACAAAATATGTGACCAAGTCCCAAGTTGCTGATCTGATTTTCTGGCTCATTTACACACAATTGCAGGGTCTCATTTGTTTCTTATACTACAGGTTGTACCTCTCTAGTCCGGCAACCTCGGGACCTGACCGGTGCCGGACCATGGAAATTGCCGGACCATGGAAATTCACCCTTTTCCTGGATAGATAGTGACTTGTGCTTATGCCTGGAAGCACTAGCACCACTTTCTCTGCGTCATGGTCTCTTTGAAGACATATTGAAGGCTTAAATGTCGTATAGTAGCTTCTCAAATTTCGCGAGTTTTTAATTCTTAACGTATTTTATTGGAACACACAAAAAAATAAATAAATAAAAATTTTGACGGCGGAAACTTGAATTTCGACGGGTTTGAACGGCCCGCCAACGTGCAGACGACGTGCATAATCGTGTAAACAGCGTCCTTTCTCTTATGTACAAAAGATTCATTATTGTTTATTACTGAATGTCTTTTTTATTGAATTTTGTTTATGTGTGCAAAATGAGCAATAAAATTCATTAATAATACGTAGAATATTAAAACACACGAGGAAATGACACAGCATTGTTTTCGTTGATTACAAAACCAGTGACTGACTGGTTCTACATATAAAACTGAAGAAAATAAGACCTTGGTTGTAGCTGTAGTAAAATTAATATGGTTGTGTTAAGTAATGTTATTTAATGTTAATAAATGGAACAATAGAAGTAGCTAACGATAATGGTAAAGAAAAAAGAGAGATCGCATATGTAAGTGCGCATGCGCACACGTGAAAACATATCGTCATTACTTTACATAAGAATATGAAAGCAACACTTATTTACTGTTCATATATATTTTAATTAATGTTTCTGAATTTGTTTTTATTGAATTAATGTACGTGTGTGCAAAATTAACAATACAGTACAATTTATTAATAATACGTGGAATATTAGAGGAGACGAGACGGCTGCCGGCATTGTTTATGTTAAAGCTTACGAAACCAGTGACTGATTGGTTCTACATATAAAACTGAAGAAAATAAGACCCTGAGTTTAGCTGTAGTAAAATTAATGTAAAAAATGAATATGGTTGCTTGAAGTACCTGTAATGTTATTTAATGTTAATAAATGGAACAATATAAGTAGCTAACCATTAATGGTAAAAAAAAAAGTGAGACTGCTCGTATGTAAGTGCGCACATGTGAAAATATATCGTCATTACTCTACATAAGAATATGAAAGCAACACTTATTTACTGCTCATATATATTGAAGGGTTAAATGTTGTACTCTGTATAGACAAGCAGAGAGAGAGAGAGAGCAGCCGAACTGCCGGATGTAAACAAACCTTAATTTCCCGCGGCTTTTTTTTTTAAGGGGATTAGCCCACCCGGGCATAGGTCACTGACCCACATTGGGGCCTGAGGGGCAAAAATTTAATACTCCTGTAATAATAATAATAATAATAATAATAATAATTCAGATAAAAAAAAAGAAAAAAAAAGAAGCTGCCTATCTACCTATTGGACAAACTAAAATCGTTCCGGACCACGGGAGTTTCCGGACCACAGAATGCCGGACTAGAGAGGTACAACCTGTATTGACAACACAACATACATATAGTTTCACACTTGATCTTTTTTATTATTATTATTATTATTATTATGATTATTATTATTATTATTATTATTATTATTATTAATTATTATTATTATTATTAATTATTATTATTATTATTATTTTTATTATTATTTTTATTATTATTTTTATTATTATTTTTATTTTTATTTTTATTTTTATTTTTATTTTTATTATTACATTTTCGCCTCCCAGGCCCTGATGTGGGTCAGTGACCTGTAAAAAAAAAAAACAATAGCAGTGCAAATAGTAAGTACTGTACAGACAAGGGCTACAAGGGACCATACAACTTGGAAAGCTGCAGGTAACTACAGCTAACCCATGAAAAAATAAAAAATGGCTGGAAAATGGTGGTGGTAATGTAGTAAAACATAAGAAGTAAAATGATAATGATGATGTAATTAAGATTACATTGGGGAATAGGGAGAATGGGCGGATCCAGGGGGGATCCTGGGGTCCGGGCCCCCTTTTCATCAGAAAATTCCAATACTTTTTCTTTAATGTAGTATTGTACTCAGGCATTTTTGTATAGTAAAAAATATTTACTATTGACCTCAGAATATCAAGTGCACATGGCTTCAAAATGGCCTAAAAATGCCCATGATATTGGTCAGATTAAAAAAAAATCTAGCCCCCCAAACCCTCTAGCTGGGTAGGCTCGCCATGTTCCCCCAACCACAACTTCTTCGGACACACCCCCCTCCCCCCCTTTTTTTTATATTCCTGGATCCACCCCTGGAGAAGAATGGTTCACAAAAGCTAAGTAGCTACAAAAATTTAGCAATGAAAAATGGAAATAATGGCACTAGGAAAGCTAGGAATGATTAGCACACCATGGATAAAAAATATTTAAATGCATGATTTAGCTGTGTAATAAGAGATGAGTGTTGCCCTTGTCAAAATTTATACGTTTCATATGAGTGAAAGGATTAAGATGGCTGGGAGTTGTATCAGTATTTGATAAGTACAAAGAATTGATGATACAGTGTGACAAAATAGAACTTGAGTAAAGTGGCGGTGGCATAACAAGGAATGATGTGCGGAGCTCATGGATTAAAATTTTCAGGACGCAAAAATTAACACTTCCTAGGCCAGTGATGTGGAGAGGGAGTAGAGAGGAATTACAGGAGTGGTCATTTATGAGGCAGATAAAGAAGGAAATTGCATAAAAATGGTAAATAGACAAGTAGGGGTAAGAATGGTTATAAAAAGAGTAAAAAGTGGTGTGGAAGCAAAGTACCTGTAGTGATGAGCCCAGTAAAATTTTTTTTTATAGATTTATTGGTTACAGTATATAGACCAGGGAAATGAACACTGGAAGTTGGTAAAATGGGATTGTTACTGAATGTAAGAAGAACCTGGGAACCAACTTGTTTGTGAGAGTTTGTGTATTGGTGGCATTCAGTGTAACTGGTTTATTTGTGACCCATTGACCTGCGGACTCAAGATTTATATTTAATGTAGTTGTATTATTTAAGTGATCTGCTGGGAGACTTGATTAGGGTGGTAAGATAGATATTTTGTGGAAGTTTGTGTTATTAGTAAGGAAATGTATGCTTGAAGAAATGAAGAGGGGTGTCATTAATTTGGAGTATTAAGAGGGTAGGAGCAAGGATTGAGGTTGTCATTTTTGCAATGATGAGAAAGCAGTTTGGAGTGTAAACCATCTTCCTATTTATGTTTATAATTTAAATATTTTCTTTCTTGCTATCTTTCTCTTTAGTTAATAATGCTCTCATCGCCTTTGAAATTAGCAATATGTATCCATCGCACATCTGTCACTTTCTAGCATACATTATTTGTGTCTCAGTTCTTTCATATGCTGTGAAAGAACCATCTCATTGGTTTTAGATGTGGAAGCCCCTACACAGGCTCTCAAATTATTTGTAACATGATTGTATTCATGGAAGTATTTGTCAAAGAAACAAGATTTGTCTGCAAGGATACGTTCCAAGAAAGTAAAAAATCTGTAAGTAAGAGGTTGAAAAGGGAGAAGTAAGAATACAGTACTGAGTATAAAAAATTGGGAGAAGAGAATTAAAAATAAAGAAAAAAGTTGAAATGGGTAAGTAAAAACTTATGAATACCTGTACTGTAAAATTAAAATAGTTTGTAGATATTGACGAACAGAGATGACGTTAGAAAAGAACAGGGGTAGTGAATCTTTAAAAAGTGGGGAAATAAATTTGGGAAGTTAGAAAAGTTAAAAAAAAAATTGGAGAGCTAAAAATCATGTATTTTTGTAAGCTTAAAGACAAAATTTTTTTTTCTCTACTTACTGACAGGATGAGACATCGATTTCATTTTGATTCTACTAATCCAGTACTAGCCAAGGATGCGAGCACCAAGGATGACAAATGGTACGACATGGATGACCCAAGAAATGTGCTCAACAAGAGAAGAAGAGAGGAGTCATCCAGACAACCAAAGAAATATCGGAAATAAACAATCTGTCATGAGTTACCGTAGTAGATGTTGTTGGTTATCAATCTACTTATACATCATATGGAGTTGAAGTATCAAAAATGTCAGATTTTGTGAATCCTTAACTTTGTTATAAGGCAGTAGTAAGTTCTCTGCTTACTCATTTATCATTAAGTTAAAAAAAAAATGTTTATATTTGATTTATTACAGTCCTATTCTGACTTTTATAATCAATCCTGTTTTATCTTATGCAATCAAAGGATCTAAATGTGGAAAAAATTACAGATAAAACTTAGGTATTGACATAAAATAACTTGATATCATTATTTAATTCCCAATAGAGTACAGAAAAATACATCTTTCAGTCTTTTAAGTCTTTAAGCACTCAATTTACAAATTAGATGTTTAATTAATGCATGACACTGTAAATCAGCCATAAGGATAAACATAAGTTTGACCATCACACTTTATCTTGTCTGGTGAAATGGCTTTCAGGTGCTAATAAAACTGAAAATGTATTGATACTATTTTATTTTATAAAAATTTTCCCAAGAGTACTGTACTACAGTAGTGATGATGTCTCTGTGACCAAGATTATGAATCACAGCATACTAGTTGTAGATACAGGAATACCTTGCTATTCCCAACCCCACTTATCTGCCATTGATATTGCAACACCTTTATTCAATATTGGCAAAGGAAAAATTATGATACCCTACAGTCAGCCTCAAAGATTTTGTATTAAATTCCTGAAGGAAGCTTTAGTGGGCCCCTTATGGGCTGGGGGCGCTGGGCAGCTGCCTATGCCTCGAGCCAGCCCTGTAGATACGCATTCCACGGAGTTGCCACAGCTCACCAAATGCATCACTCATTGTACCAGGTATAACTGGATAAGTTTAGGTTTAGGAGGGAGATAGGAAGGAACTGGTTCACAAATAGGGTGGTGGACGAGTGGAACAAGCTTAGCAACTTTGTAGTAAGTGCTGAAATACTGGAAAGTTTTAAAAGGAGACTAGATAGATTCATGGATGATAGAGAGTGGTAGTAACTCTCGACAGGAGCTGCCATGCACAAGCCAACCAGCATCTTGCAGACTCCTTATTTTTCTCATGTTAACTGCAGGCAACTGTACATGACTTTGCACATTTATATGCATTTGCATTTATATATATTCAAGTGTGTGTGTCATTTTAGGCATGACTGTGTGTGTGTGTGCATGCCTTTTAGGTCTGTTAGTTCACACACACACATGCACTTAAATTAAAAATTTCTAGGGGAAAATGATAAATTTTGTTACATCTAGTTTTTTTTATTGTACCATAGTAAGGAATCTGAAGAGACAATATGATCATATTGAACCCTTACCAGGATGAAAGTCATCAATGTACTATTACATCTACTGTAGTTAATTTTATAGTCTCACCAAAGACTGTTAAGTTAAGGCCAATACTAATACAGTATAAAACACAATAAATCAGTAAATTGTTAACAATGAGGTAAGAATACAATCTTAACTTGTTGCCACTTATTAACCAGACTGCCACTTATTAACCAGACCAACACATTATACTACATTCAAAAGTGCCTTTGTACACATAATTAACTAAGCCCCTCATTAAATTAAAATGTGAACTTTCAACATCCTCCTGTCCTTAAAGTTTATAAATCAATAAAAGTTACCATAAGGATAAAGTTAACTAACAAGGGTCTTCAATCATACACGAGATGGTCTTCTCTGGGGCTAGTGATCTTATTAGTCTTAAGGCCATAAATGGCAGGATAACTCCTGTTGTGGCCAAGACTGTCAGTGTTTCGAGAGTGCTACACATAACAATTATTACACCCCAATATTCCCTTTACAGTCTGCAGTATCAAATACTGTACCTAATTAAATTGTTTTTGTTTTTGTTTTTCTATTTAAAAAATACAAAATCACAGCAAATCAATTCCAAGAAATATTCTAATTAAGAAATAGGAAGATAAATTTACAAAGATTTACCACAAGTTAAACCAAGTTCATTAAATGACTGGCAAAAGAATGCTGAAGCAGATTATAATGTTCAATGACAATTTGTATACTTGAGACCTTAACCATAATTTTTTTGTAAACAAACAGCCGGTCCACTATCATAGGGTTTTAACTGTATGGGAACAAAGGAGTTCACTGGGAGTATGGACCCATATCTGTGGTATTTTGATGCAACCACCATACTGTACAGTATATGCCATTAAATGTTAATCTTGTTTAGTAGTACAGGTATTATATTCAACTGTTTACATATTGAACATATTCCTAACTTAAATGTACACCCCCATTATCACTTCTCAATACTTAATCAAATTTCAGGCCAACTCGTGTTTACTAAGCCTAATATGAGTATTTTCTTGCTTATCAATGTGCATTACTGTAAAATTTCTCATTTCCTTAAACTGCACATTCCTTCACCAATAGACGTAAGTTATTTGAAGAAGAGTTTAACTTGTACAACCTTACCTGACTATATTCAGTAATGATATAATCAATATTAATAGAATTTCAAATTACAAATGTTAAACTTAAAACCAGTTATGCATTTTTATTTAACTTTAGTGCTAGTATGACCAATGCAATTAACTTTTCATGAGCTGCACTAATACTGCAGTGACAATGGCAGCAACCATCTAAACAGCCAATTGTTTACATCAAATATATTTAAATTTTATCCAGTGTTCATTGTAATTATACTCAATCTGGTTTCATTCTGCTAAAATATTAGATTAGCAAATAACCATCTTGAACTGCCCCAGTATATCAGAATCCTAGATCCTTCTTATCATTGGACTACATATGACCCCAACAAATTACAGTAGTACCCTCACAAAGGCAGTCTCACTTCTATGTTTTGGTTTTGTTACAAATGATCTACAGTGTATTCTTCTGTTTCATGCCCTAAATCTTATAATTGATCTAATAAAGTTTTTTTCATAAGATTTAATGTACAGGATAACTTAGATTTTGTTAAATAATCTTTTTCAACAAAACCAAAACATTTTAGACCTTGTTCATCAAATCTGGGAGTGAGGGTTATACAATACAATTAACAAGTGATTTACTGTACTTCCCAAAGCTTAAAAATTGAAGAAAAAAAAAGACCATAAATCATAATTATACAAACCAAGCAATGACTTTGGGCACTATAAGGTGAACCCATTCATACAAGAAAGATGTATACTTACTTGAAGCTCCAAATTTTGCCTTTAATAATGGATGTGAACTTCATTTTAAGAAAGCAGTAGCGAAATATGCTTTGTAAAGATATAGTTCTTGTTCAAACACACATACAAAAATATAATAAAAATGCAACAAAAAATTTCACTCAATACCTCATTAAAAACTTTTATATGTCAAAGTGTATCATTATTGACTTTAGTGCTATGGGTACAGTACTCTTATTTGTCCACTTACTTCAGAGAAAAAATAAAAATAAAATAATAGGCCAGCACTTACTTAAACTACATACCATAATCAGCCCTAAAATTTAATTGTACTTCATCCCAAACTGAACCCTAAAACAAAGAAGATTGCAGAGAAACATCATTACTTGGCATTCCTAACTACTACCAGCACCATAGTTTGAGTACATGCAAGCACATACTTTCCAAAGACTTGAAGTTTTCAGAATGAAGATTTGATTTCTGAAATGCTCAGAATGCTGCCTCCACTACATGCACAAGAAACTCCAACATCAAAAAATAAATACTGTACTGTACAGTTGAAACACTAACAAACCGTTCTACCAGTGGTGTACTCAAGTCCAAGAATGAGACCATTTGCAATTTTGGATTTATAGATCACTTAAAGATTATCCTCCCCTGATAGTTTCTGCAATTGGGGCTGGACTAATTATAAATTCATCCATAAAAGCTAATATTGTGAATGGTCTCATTCATGGTCTTGGGGTCGGTCTTGACTACATTACTGCCTTTTACCCACATCTTGAACAATTTACCTTCTCAGTAAATATTATGATTGATAAATCTATAGCATGTAACCATATTGTTATTAAGTAATCATAAAAGTTATAGATAAATTCGGGAGGCCAATTCAAGTGGTTGCTTGAAGGAAAAGATAGAGACCCACTTCTTTTTATCACTGCAAAGCTCAGAATTTATACTCTCAATATACTGTATTAAGAAATCTCTGAGTCAAAGAAACTTACCTTAACACTCATTTAACAAATTACATGATAATACAATCAAAACTTTGAACAGTAATGAGTTACAAATACAATACAAGATAGTTGCCGCTTACATTATCATGAGATAAAATCTTTCAAAACAATAGTAAATCCATTGTAACTAGTTGGGGTAATGACCAACTAGGGTCACTATTACACTTAATAACAAGTTTAGCTTTGTGCAGGGATGTTACTACAGTACATGGTAAGTATAGTACAGAAATATACATCACCTGCATCCATTGATGGTGTAAATGAGATAGCAGATAGTATCTACTTTGTACTAACATTTTTTTTTTTTAAATACTTCCAATTTTTCTCCCGTAAAAAATGTGGATAGGATAAATATAATTAGGTTCATGATGGGTTGTGTGATCACTCATTTGAAGGCAGCTGACTCACCATATCACAGTCTATCTATAAATCACAAACACTTCTCTTGGGGAATAGAATATTTTGCACTTTGTCTCACTCTATTTTTGAGAAATAAATATTTTACATTTCCTAAACCCTTCCACAATTGAATCACACTGGTTGACTTTGGTCACCTAAGGAAGCACTACCATGGGAGAAGTGTGGCTTGTCAAAAGAAAAAAAGGATATTATGTCCATGGTCCCCTTGCCCCCCCCCCCTCCCCCCCAAAAAAAAACAAAGAAACCTTACATGTCTGCTAATGGGATCAAACTCTGTCTCAAGAACTAACTGCCTCGATCTTTACAACTAAATTGCGATGCAAATTTTGTGTAGCAATATTTTACAATAATCTGCTATGTACTTTTTATCTACAATTTATTCCAAACTTCACTTCATCTTACCAAGGGTAACTATTACTGGGGAAATCTTCACTATTTCCTATATACTGTATATCCTTCTTCCTTATAAAGAAAACATACAGAAACTGTGATAGCCAAATTCACATGAAGAAATCTTTGGCATGTTTTCAGTTATACTGTTGTGTTCAATACAATAATGTGTTAGGTGACCAAAGTATATGGGGAAGAATTCCACATGCACCACTGTTTTGATTGTGGAAGAAACATCATACTGTACAAGAAAAAGAGAGTATTACAATTATGCAATGCTATATCTATTAACCTCGACAGTCTTTCAAAATGTATTCTATATCAACACATCTTTGTAAAAAGTGCACAAGTATTTGACAACATAAACTTACAGTGTTACATGAAATTTGAGCAAGCAATTGAAAAGTTTGTTTTCTAACAATAATAATATTGATGACTTGTTTCAAAGCACATACAGTATTATGTTTTAATGGTTTGCTAACTATTTAAATTTTTAAATTTCAGCCACCTTGAAAACTCATCATTTTAGCTACAATTACCTGTAGTATGAACAAAGGTTTTTTATCAGGACACCATTATCCTGTATGTGACTTTAGTGCAGGATAGACACGAGCTATTTTACTGAAAAGTGCACACACTAATTACCTTTAAAAATATTACTGAGTTTAGCACGTACAGTATTGGCATGACACTGCAACTGATTCCAACATCTAAACATTATATATACTGTACAATAATCCAAATAATATACAGTGGGGCATGCTATAACGAACGGATCCTACTACGAATATTCCTATAACGAACGGTTTTACCTATAAAATTGAGAATGCTATAACGAACGCGCACGAATATTGTTGTACCGCAGCTCCCAGCAAGAGCGTCAGGCGCCATATTGGTTCATTGTGTAGTCAGTGCACCACTGAACTTGTTGAAATTTCGTCTTTTGATGTGGAAATTCGTGTCATTTTTATAACTATTTTGTTATACAAGTGTACAATTGTAACAATGAATCGTCAAAAGCGAGTGAGAAAGCTAATAACCCTTGAAACTATGAAAGAAATTATAAATAAACAGACAAAGTGCCTGTAAGACAGTCACCAAAGAGGGCTAGGAAGGATGACTCCTCTCCTTCCACAATTCTCTCCTCCCCCCCTCCTCCATTGCCTCCTGTCCTGCATGCTGAACAACACTAAGGTAAGATAAAGTACAGTGAACCCTCACTTTACGCGGTTAATTCAACCCACAGGGTACCGCGAAAAGTGAGAAACGCGTAAAGTGAACAACATAACATATGGGATTAATTGAAATAGAGACCGGGCCGACCCCCAAACTCCACTTTTTCAGACACAATACTGTACCTACGCTGTAGTAAAAATAACTTCTTAATCTTATGATGGTATGCACACACAATTAATAATTAAGAGAAATATCAATAATATTAGGTTTTTTAACACTTACATTAGTAGAAAAGATGGCTGGGTACACGGGGATGGGGGTTAGTTCCGAGGCAGAGGGCAGATTATTGGCCCTCACCTGTATCACTATCCACCACAGAGGCTTGCAGGGCCTCTTTGTCAAACCCCTCAAAGTCCATATAAGTCCATATCCTCACTATAATTATCACTATCACTGACTTGGGCCGGCTGTGGTGGGTGAAGAACTCAGTAATGTTTTGATGACTGGGCGACCTTGTGCGCACCCTGCTCGAGCCGCTTACACAACATGGCGGATGGCAGGAGGTTTGGATCCAAAATAGGCGCGGCTCGCCAGCTGCTCTCCGCGTAAAGGGGTACACGCACCGCGGAATGTGAGCATTCCGGTTTCGGCAGGGTACCGCGTTAACGTGGAAACGCGGAATGTGGGACCGCGTAAAGCGAGAGTTGACTGTACTGTATTTTTTACAATTTCCACAGAAATTTTTCAGTGTTAAGTGGTTGTATTTGGGGGCCTGGAACGGATTAATCTTATAACGAACGAATACTATAACGAACGAGGTTCTAGAACCAATTAGATTCGTTATAGAATACCCCACTGTATATGGTTACATACTCAGAAGTGCAACAAGTTCTTCACAATACATATGTGAAGTTGATGGGTGCACAAACCTACAAACTAGTGACATACTGAAAAGACTTAATATTGATCACAAGGCGGACAGACTTGTATGTATGGAACGGAAGTACAGGTTATCCTGGTAACAGCTAGCGAAACACATTTGGAGCTACTTGAAACACCGTGTTATAACTCACCTTGTACGATTACCCAGTCTATTTTTTAAAGATGCAATTTCAGTTGCACCACACAAGTCTATATATTATCAACCTTTTTATGTTTAAGCAAAGAAACTCCTCAGAGATATGTTCTTCAAAAACAAAGTGTGAGCAGGAAGACAGAAATGGTTTTACCTGTATTACAGTATCATTATTTTTTGGCTTGTTTTCAACTTTGAGCCTTTCACAATTACTGTACAGAAGTATTGTAGGCTGGCTACACCAGATCATATGAAAAGGAGATATAAATCATCTTTGTTTCAGCTGAATGCTTGTCTTTACACATTTTAGGTGTCAAAACATCCTTTCATTAAATATTAAATGACAGAAACAAATTATGCACATGCTTTATATTCGAGAAATATTGTTCCGCCACTTTAAATGGGAAAAGTAATAACTTAGCTCAAACTAAAGCAGCAGTGACCTTAAAGCGTACTGTATGTGAAATTGTGTTAATATCAAACCATTGCAGGAATAAAGCATACAAAAAAGCTGAGGGTAATCATAATTATGATCACACTTTGAAAACAGATTAGCAGTAGGTGGTTTTCTTTTCAAGTTTTATTTTTCAACCACATAAACATAATTCTAAGCTGATGTACAGGTATTAGTTTGTGAAATCAAATTTAATGATGAATGAATCAACAGTCTGGCCGATAATTACACTTAAGTTCCAGTATGTGCAACACATAGATATGGTTCTGTTGCAAAAGAATTTTTTCTTTAAAACAATATATATACACACATATATATATATATTTATATATATATATATATATATATATATATATATAAAAGCATTTTCTTATTTATGCACATATATCTACATAATAATCTAAACACTCGAGTCTAATGCATTTTACTGTTATACGTAATGAGAGGAAATTCTTAACACCGATGGCTTTGTGAAACATAAAAAACCTGTGAAACCTCTGTGAGTAAAATTGGTATTGAAGAAAGGTGATCACCATTTCAATTCTGCTATCAAGCTGAGGAGGATTCCTTAATGACTTTAATTTAATTAAGCTTCAAGATATAAAATTATCTACTGAAAGAACACCATGACACCCTAAGTACACCGACTACTTTTCGAGGTTGAGCCGCTTTCATATATACTGTATTGTGATACCTGAAAACTTTCTAATGAATCTTAAACCATGTACTGCTTAAAAGTCCTGCTCATGAACTGTACATTACACAACAGTCCAACCCTATACATCTAAGAGTCATACAAAAGCAACAATATTCCTTCTTGCTCTTGTTAGTCTTCACATTTTGTAATTAGCTAGTCTTCTAACTAAAACATTCACTAAAATCACAAATCATGCCTTTAAATATTATCTTCATTATCATATACATCTTGCAATGTTATCCTGGATCTTTGATTACATTATCCACAGTGTACAAACTATTTCTAGTCCTGTCATCATCTCCACAATACACAACTACTGTATCAACAACCTATTATAATATCAAGACTGAAAACTAACCTGGACCTGAAATCAATAAAAAATTTCACCAGACTTGGAAAATTTAGACCGTAGACATTCTCCATTATTCAATACATCTCTTAAATCTTTTCTCAGTTTTTTTATGTGAATTTTTTTACAAGTCTTTAGTACAGTATTCAGTAAGTTTCTGCAATTTTATTAGCCACATTAGCATTTTATTGTACCAGTCTACAGAACTGTACAGCATTGTGTTTATTCAAAGTACATATACAGGTATACATATTTTTAAAACAATTTTGAGTGGATTGTTCAGAACATAAAGGTGCTTGGGAAAAGAAAAAAAAAATTAAGGTTACAGTGAGATGATTTAATTGACCCCAATTTACAAGCTACCCTATTTTACTGAAGCTGTGTATTGTACTGTATCTCCTTAAAGAATAACTTCGGAGTAATAATTGTTATTGTAAAATTATCTAAATTAGTTCAAAATACAGTAATGCTAAAACTACAAGGGGACCACCTAGTAACATCTGAGACTCGTCAAGAATATTTCAAGATATGCTTATCACTGTTAGGTTTTGAATAATAGCTTATGTTGGAAGTTAAAAACATTCTGTATCTTACGACATACAGTACCTCCTCAGTCTGCATGTGAAATATATTCCGTCTTTGAGTATACAGTACATACACCCACCTCCAGTATCCCAGTGTTCAACAGGGTGATCAATCTAGATTTTTCTAATTCTCCACATTCTTCCACATCTCAACAAGGTAATCCCTTTAACACATCAAATTGGTAAAAAATTTCTCTCTGGTACTTTCTAACAGTTGGTTGGTATTAACTACTGTATATAAGTCACTATTTTTGCACATATTCTTCCCTCAAGCTCACACCAACTTGAGAACTCCATCCTACATTATATTCACTAATCCTGTCAGTTGACTATCATTCCATTCTTAACACTCGATGCCATTTTCCAAGATGGTAATGCACTACCTCCCGTATCATCACCACCTTAACCTTGTACACTTTTATTTTAAAACTTTCTTCAGGCATTAACTTCCTTGAGCTTACACCCCTTTTAACGTCTTTCAAATCTTATCTTCTACCAATCCTGTCATCTTCAACCTACTTCACTACCACACTAACAAATACATCAATAAAATGGAGACATGATCCACCCACCTTATTAAAAACCAACCATAAATCACTCCATTCTTCATTTGTCTAATACTGGAAATGCAATTTTTTGTTTTAATGGAATCCCTACCCTGCTTGAATCCCTTCATTTCAAAACATACACTCCAAACCTGTTATATAGCTAATTTTCAACTTAAAATTTTCCTAAATGTACTGTGTATTCTATTTACACACAGTATCATCTGACATTTTTTGCAACTACTCTCACTGTGGGATCTAGTTAGTACAACCATGCATTTCCATAAGCCCAAAGTTTTGTATCAGAAAATAGAATATCTAATAAGATTTTAAATGCACCAACCTTCTCTGTGTACATAAAGTAGCATATACTATAATAAAGATAGATATTTTTGTTAATATAATGTAACAGCTTATTATATACAAACTGATTTTCATGTACAGCCAACATTATCATCAAAACCAACCATAACACAGCATCTAACAAGAAAAAGTAACATATTGTATATGGAAAAATTCTGAAGATTAATTATCTTTTTATTGCCTTTTCCCTCTTTTTATGAACAGCTAAATCAAACCTTCACCAACATGAGTCACACTCATAATAAAAAAAAAATTCATCATATTTTGTTTAATAATTTTTTAGATAACCTGATATACCATTCCCAAAATAACTCATACTGTCCACACCAAACAATCACTGCAAATAAATCTAAAACTAGCTCAAGTAAAATATAAAGTTTGAAATTAGTAACATTACAGTACACGATATAAAAAAAAAAGGTATTATTGCAAAACATCGACACATGCTATATTCTATGACGCTATACTGATGTGTTTCTTAAAAAATCCTTCGAAGAGAATATTCGATTACTGAGGTCAGTTCATCTTTTCAAAATACATATAAATTATTAACCAAATCCTCTAGACCACAGCTAAAACACACCTGAATGTACCAGTAACAATATTTTGTGGTACAGTACTTCCTTATATTACACATACTGTATTTTAATATTTGGTAATTAATGATAAAATGCAATGAAAAATATTTGTGGTAACAGTCATCACCTAATGTCTCGACATGACAAGTCAACCATGCTGACAACTGAACTGTCTATTTGATATATTGTGTGCTTCCTCTGAGCACTTTAACGATAATAACAAATACTGTATCTGCAGTGGAAGTATTTTTGCTGTAATGAAAACTCCACTGCCTTATGGACATTTTATGCATGCCCAATGGTGTTGATAATTCTAGCAAATGCAATGAGCCCATATTCATGTGTAGGTTGCAAAAAACAGAGATGACATATTTCACGACTTCACTGAGGCTTCATAAAGTTGGTTTGGAGGAAGTCGAGGTTGATATCAGGGAAGTCTGCATCTGGCAGGTTTTCCAGGATGTCGGGGTAATCATTGTCGTAGGTGATTCTGTGTGGAAAGAGAAATGTGTCAGTCACAACACAGCAGCAGCAGTAGTGAGAGCTATGACCCACTACCACTACCACCACCAACCCCACCACCAGCATATACACCAGCACCATGAATAAAATCTGAGCTTGCCAGTCATTTCTTGTGGGTAAATCTTAAAAATCATGGTATTATAGGAAAGGGGTCTGTAACAAGCCTACATTCCTATTACATTTAAAGGAAGTTTTGGTGGAAGGTGTCTTCTTACTAAACCAAATATTCCCCATATCTGTCATGTTGACATAATTTTTTGTCATCAGAAAATATGAATATGAAGAATCTTGATCACTAGTTTCCTTACAATTCATTTAGTTGCCTTTATTTAATGTGAGTCTCTACAATCACTTGTTACAGAAAGTGGACTAATTACTGTATACCATAATAGAGTATGGTGTATTATTATTAATTCTTCAACAAAAGATAACTGAATTCCATATAAGTGAGATACCGGTAGGGACAGAGGTATTTATGGGGCGGGAAATGGGATATACTATACTGTCATCAAAAGAACAACTGAAGCCTTAGTGAATCCTACACAGGGTAGTATTTTGGCTTCCAAAAGTATTACACATTAAGCAATTAGAAAGATGTGGAAATAAAAGCAAATTGCTTACAAAATACAATCTTAACTATGAGTAAACCATAGCTATAAAAAATCTAAAGGGCTTTACAGGCTTACAATTACAGAAAGTTGGAACTGCAAGGATGAGGAAATAGACTAGCAAGCTTTAATACTCTCTAGCGTTTCTTAAAATGAATGACAAATTCTGACACGGTCGAAAGAAGTGCTTATTAAATATATGTAGAAAGGGTTTAAAACAAAACTGGAGTTCAGATGCATGGTGTTTTCTCCGACCATGCTGGCTGTGGGGATGGTACTGGTAGGGACCAAAAGTGGGAAGATGGGAGCCATTGATCTGCACTGGCCTCACTCAGTTATGAACACACTGCAAAGCTAGCTTATTACTTCTGCTTGGGTGATGCCACTGATTGTCACTGTAACCAACACTCATTTCCAGGAGAATGAGTGATTATGACAAAACCTGTCACTAGTGAATAATATGATACTGAACATTCTACTTCAATGAACAATACTGTACATAAGTGACAGTAGCTTCAGTTGACATTGTAAAGGGGTCATATCAGGTCCAAAGTTGGCACAATACTGTTTTTTGGAAGCTGTGGATGCCTGTGTGTAAATAAGACATTTCAAGTGTCTATATGCCTAAAAGTCAGTGCCATACCAATCTTGCTGCCCTGCACTTATTCATGTACAAAAATTCAGGCGTTTTCGGAAATAATACATCTCCTCAACCAACCTAAATTTCTGTGTGTTAAAGGGTAACCTTGGGAGTTAAAGGTTGGCATGACTTTGGTTCATGTGCACAGACACTATTTAAATGTTTTCTTTATATACAGACAAAAGAAGTTTTAAACACAGCATCACATTAACACTGAACCCCTGATATTTCCTCTTAACAATAAAACAAGATGGCAGTGTTAGATGATCGAGATAGGCACTTGTGCAGTATGGCCACAACTATGTACAACATGCAGGGTACCCTCTCCCCACTTGTGAGCAAACTGATACAAGTCAACAGAGGGGAAGACTCTGCAGCCATTTGCTGAAAGGATAGACTTACATGTAGATTCTGCTTAGACCAATGTTAGTGAACTTTATGCAGGTCAATTGACACTGCCATCCCAGACAAACAAAATTTATTAAGTACTCTGTTGACTTGTTTCTACTGCTTGTGACTGACAGTTTCTCTATCCTCTAAGCAAGTGCTGCACAGCAAGTGTCACAACACTAGTAATCCTTCAAATTGACCAGAACACCCAGAAAAATCCCCTTTTCTTACACAACTTATAAAATACAAAATAAGATGATGACAATCTCTTTCCAGTCATGCCACAACCACAAGAAGCTAAAAATTATGTTCAAATATATGTAAGAGATTCAGGATATAAAAGGTAAGGGTTAGAACAGCATGCAGTGAGTCAAAAGTTTATTCCAGATTACAGTGTAGCTTACATATATAATCCACCAATGAAACTGACAGCTTTTCCAACAATGGTGCATTAGATCTGACCTAAATGCTTTCTCTGTAAAGCTATATATTATGAAATCATTTTACTACAAAATATGGATACAACATAATAAAAATAAGCAGCATATATGTTTGGCACAGACATAAAACACATAAGGTAAAGAAATAATGATGATACTGTAATAATAATAAAAATACTATAATGATAATAAATAATAAAAATGGTTAATAATAACACATTCTGAGGCTGCATGAATACTTCTCTCATATGACCAATTAATTACTGTACATGCAACTTCAATTATGACTCATAGACAGTAAACAAAATGATGATACTAATTTCACAATTATTTTCTCATTTATTGTGCAATGCCAAATATGGTGTGAATGGCAGCATAAAAACAATGAAGTGCAAATCACCTTTATCCTTCTAATGTCTTATCCAACTTTATAGTGTATGTTTTTCCCTCAAGTCATATTTTCCCTAATGAGACGTATGATGCATTTCTCTCTATTCTTTTCATGTGACTAAAAGCAGATTAAACACATCAAACAAGATAAGAGGGAATTTTTTCATACAACCATTTTGTCTACTTTTCTTTATCTCTTCTTTCTCACACTTCATTTTTTTCTTATCTGGATTACACTTATTAGGAAAATTTTCAATTTTTTCATACATTCCTAATGACTTATAATCTAACCATCAGGCAAGTAACTTCCATGTGACAGTTATACCCACAAGCAGAATTCTTCGGTACAATACAGTATGTCCACAGAATCCTAACTTTGTGTGTATGATGCTAGAATAAGTGGAGAGATCAGATGGTCACATGTTTGATAATAGATTCTGCTTGAGGGATCCCTCCTATAATTGCAGACTGTTTAAAAATTAATTATAAAATGCTTTCTTGCTGAATTTATTGCCAATAAATAATTCTAATTAATAACATAAATCATACAGATACTATAACTAGCTCAAACCCAGCTATCCATTTGTTGTAAGTGGCTCACTAATGAAAAGTGTATTAAAAGAAACCTATTGGCTCATTTTTAAATATGCATATGAATACTGTATTAAGAATATGGTAATATTTTTTTAATATTGTTTCCTTGAATCAGCTCAGTCTGAGAATACTTAAGGTCAACTACAAAGCTAACAGAGGCACGTACACCAATTTTCAATGTTTACGGGTGCAGGCTATCACACTTATACAATTATACCTTATTTATTATGTACAATTTTATTTTTTTCAGATAACAACACTTTACCAATTACTTATCTCCAGAGAACTTTATTTACCTATTAGACCCTTTACTCTTTATCTTCATCTCCCTCAGTAAGCAAGGCTACCGAGATAATTTTTTATATTAAAAATTTTGCCAAAACATGAAATTACACAATACTGTACTACAAAGGGATACAACTAAATATATGATTAATATTTATTACAATTTTATTTGACTTCACTTTGAAATTCCAATTCTTTAATACTGCATATGTTCCACTACTCTCCAGCTGCTCCAGCTGTTATAGACAGTGTAGTACTTAGAGCAAACTTGTTAAGAGAAGACACACCGTTGTGCTTGAAATGTGGTTGACATACTGTTTAAAGTGAATAAGATATTTCATAAACCTACTGAATTGAAACATTTTAAGCTATAGAAAATACTGTACTGGGTTAGTCATGGTTCACAAATGTTTTTTTTAAATTGATGAAAATGATGACGATGATGATGATTTATGGGTATGATTAAAATATTGATGATTATGATAAAAAAATATTTAGCAAAAATATCAATAACATACTACACACAATGTTGTTATGGAAATGACCACAATGTTTTAACAATATACATGTGAATACTGCAAGCAATTGCTTTTAAGACATAACACCACTTTGGTAAAATAATTGACAAAGAACTCTAAATACACAACAATTATTATCTCTGAATAGTAAAACCTGACAAATCTTATTCACCAAACTAAAAGTAACTTAGGTTGAATAAAATACAAATACAAAAGTTCAAAATTGCACATAAAGTATAATCACATGGACGGCATGACTAAATATGAACATGCATTCAAAAATGGTTAAATTGACATGAAAAACTGTCCATGGATTTTGGCATTATTTTTCATGACATTTTTTAAGCATAAGTCATTCTAAATTGTTTGGGACCACCAAGTACTGCAGGACATGATAAATTCCATCAGTGTTTCTCTAAATCCTGGGAAAGAAAAGTATACTGCATAATAATAATACAGTTGTAATTTGCCTTGTTGATAAAAAATGCCCTGTAGTGAGGTATAATGGTCAGTGGAACAGGAACTTGCTCGATTTAGGATTCAGGAAGGTGGTATAGTTGCTCTTCAGTCACGTGGCAGGTGATCCAGCACCTCCAATAATTATATCCAGAAAACTGGATTATTGTACCATGACCTCTTTATTGATAACAGGAATAATAGCCCACAGATCTGCTCACAGCTGCCCACATATATATATATATATATATATATATATATATATATATATATATATATATATATATATATATATATATATATATATATATATATATATATATATATATATATATATATATATATATATATATACATATATATGCAAATAAATCACACTGCAGGTGTGTGGTCAGGTAGATGCTGATATACAAGGAGAAACGCCGTGTTTTCTCATAATTATCAATATATATATATATATATATATATATATATATATATATATATATATATATATATATATATATATATATATATATATATAAAATCACAGAGAAACTAGGCACCTTAGCTTTGTCTTTATTCCAAGACATTTGATTTGCCTCATGAGATGTCTTGAACAAACATGTATATTATATATATATATATATATATAAATATCTACAGAG